TCTGTAAATCTGCCTTTCAAATAAATAAATAAATCTTTTAAAAATAAATAAATAATAAGAAGTAAAGATAGTGATATTTCAAAGAAATAATGATGTAAGAACAACCTCCTTATTTTTATTTGGCATTTTAAAGTATATAAAATATTTTATGTATTCATTTATGTAATACTCATGATATAATGTTATTAGATCCTTATGGCAAAACATTGGAATGTTTACTCTCTATGTATTCATCCCTTTTTTTAAGATTTAATTTATTTTATTTGAAAGGCTGCTTCACTCTCCAACTGGCAGGAACTACTGGGGCTAGCCAGGCTGAAGTCAGGAGCCAGAAGCTTCTTCTGGGTCTCCAATATGGATGCAGGGGTCAAAGAACTTGGGCCATCTTCTGCTGCCTTCCCAGATGCATCAGTAGAGAGCTGTATTGAAAGTAGAGCAGCCGGGACTTTAACAGGCACCCATATAGGATGCCAGCATTGTAGACGGTGGCCCAGCCTGCTATGGCACAATGCCAGCCCTGCGTTCTTAATTAAATTTTTCTGTGAAAAATTCATTATAAAATATAATTATGTTGAGTGTACACACATACATACACACACAACACTCGCCCCTTAATGTCTATAACAGTATTATTTTATCAGTCCATTTCAAATAATATTACTAAAATTTAAGTGCATATATTATTATGACTCACATAATAAACCTCATTTGCAAAGATTCCCTAACAAAGAAGACACACTCCTATGTTTCAAGTCATATTTGGGGCTGGTTTAACTTTTCAAGCTGTGTCATTTATGTAGGGGTATATTTATATGGCTGTCCTGGAGGAAACAATAGTTTTACTGCATGGTATTTTTTCTCCCAGTGTAACTGAATAAATTAATCAATAGTTTCAGGATGATGTAGAAGTAGTTGTACCAGCGTTCTACTAGAATTTTGGTTCTCACATTTCATCTAGTATGAAGTCACCTCAGGCTGATAATAGTGCTGATATCCCACCAGAAGATGCCTAAAAGGGACATTTTCCAAAATTAGAAAAGAGATAAGAGCAATAGTAAATAATTTTTTACTTTGTTTTGAGAATTTGAAATTGTCATTATGTGCCTGCTTTTGACAGGGAATGAAAACTCCCATGAGTAAGTTATTATGGTCTTTTAAAATATATCCACCCAAGAAATTTCTATCATTGTAGTTTATTGTTATCTAAATTTGGAAGGAACCCTTTTCTGAATATAAATCTCTTTCAACTTTTACTATATTATTGATAATCTGGTATCTAATATCTAGTCATTTAAAATTATCATATAAATATAATTACAAATCATGAAAGAATTCTTCATACAGTTGTCCTCTATTTTAGGAAATAAAATGTAAAATCATGATTTAATTTTAAAAGTTTTTGAATACTTACAAGTTGGAAAGATGTGTAGATGGGATGAGTGAATGGAGAGATGGGATGGATGAGAGGTATGTGTAAACGCATGAGTAGGGACCAGCATAGTGGGTAAGCTGCCTGTAACACCAGCATCCCATACAGGCTCCAGTTCAAGTCCCAGCTGCTCCAGTTCTGATCCAGCTCCCTGCTATTGTGCTTGGGAAAGCAGTGCAGGATGGCTCAAGTGCTTGGGCCCCTGCACCCACGTGGGAGACCCAGCAGAAGCTCCTAGCTCCTGGCTTCAGCCTGGCCTTGCCCTGGCTGTTGTAGCCATTTGGGGAGTGAACCAGTAGATGGACAATTCTCTCTCTCTCTCTCTCTCTCTGTCTCTCTCTCTCTCCCCCCTCTAACTCTTTCAAATAAAAAAATATAGCTTTAAAAAACCCCTTATAAATGCATGAGTAAATAGTTTTTTAAAAATTTTTACTGTTTTTAACAGATTCAATTTGCTTTGTAGATGCAATTCTATCCTATTTTAAATTATATATTTATTTTAAAGATTTATTTATTTATTTGAAAGAGGGTTACAGAGAGAGAAAGAGAGAGAGAGAGAGAGAGAGAGAGAGAGAGAGAATCCATCTACCAGTTCACTCCCCAAACGGTTGCAATAGCTAGGGCTGGGCCAGGCTGAAACCAGGGGCCAGGAGTTTCTTCCAGATCTCCTGTTGTGGGTGGTAGGGGCCCAAGCACTTGGACCTTCCTCCACTGCTTTCCCAGGCACATTAGCAGGGAGCTCGATTGGAACTGGAGCAGCCAGGACCTGAACTGGTGCCCATATGGGATGCCAGCACTTATCCACTGTGCCACAGCACTGGCCCCTGTAGACACAATTCTAGTATTCCCTTCCTCCTTCCCCCTTTCTCCTCTCTCCCTCCCATCCTCCTCTTTTCTCCCATTGTTTTTAATTTTTGGTCTTTGAAATGACTTATTTTAAATTTACATTACAGTAAAAAGCTTAATACCTCACCAAATAAGAAGTTTAACAAGTGAAAAGCAGAAACACCCCAGTTTAGTAGGAATATAGCCAATGGCTATAAGATAGTTATAGCTCTACCCACATAGGAGGGGTAGAAGTAGGGCAAACATAATAGAACACTCCCTTAGATTAGGAAAAGCATAGAGAAAGTGGTATAACTGTATCTTTGTCATTTTTCAGAGTTGAAAGGGAAATGCATAATAATGGCAATTACTAGACAACATTTGAAGAACATGTCTAAAATTAACCCATAATACAAAATAAAGATTCTATTGATTGATGGTGTGTATTTTTTCCTCACGATGTGCAGTAACTAGTTTTCAAGGTTGCCCTTTCTCCATAGACTTGGCCCAATTTGAATGAGCTGATGGGTAGCTTTAGTGAGATAGGATTGTGTGTCCAAATGATTTCCATCCAAGACTTTGAATCAAGTCATTCAGGCATAGTCCTCATCCAGAGGCCTTCATGATCCATAAGCTGTATTTTGAGAAACTCACCAGCTTGGACATAGGTGCTAGAGAAAGCATAGTTTATTGTTTATCTAGGAAGATATATCGCTGATGGTACTTCCCCTGACATGCCACAGAAGCAAATGTAGGAGTCTGCTTACCCAGTTGAGAAATATTCTGTGAGCTTTCTTAGTTCTAACAACTTTAGAAATGTCTAAAGTGTTCTCTCCCGTTTTAGCTTATGGCTGCCATTGTGTGTGTTTGTATTACTGTCTGCCTTCCCTCACACCTCTAGATAATATAAGATTAAAGGTTTCTATGAAGTTGAAATTAGATGATAAACATGTGAGGACATAACTAATATATAAACTATGTCTTTTCTAGTATGATTTTGAATTTTAAAAACTCTATAACCAAATACAATGTAACTGTCTTCTATAAACTTCAAAAACTCTCGGAGAAAATTTTGAAGACAACGACATGAAAAAGAGATAAAACATAACAGAGGAAAGAGAAAGTGTTAAAATTTAGTAAATACAGATGCAATAAAAATAAATCATTAGCAATTAGATGAATAAAGGAATGGAACTCTCTTGTAGACACAGAATTTTTTTTTTTTTTTTGACAGGCAGTTACACAGAAAGAGAGAGAGAGAGAGAGAGATCTTCCATATGCTGGTTCACTCCCCCAAATGGCTGCAGTAGCCAGATCTGGCCAGGCCAAAGCCAGGATCTTTGAACTCAGTCTGGGTCTCCCATGTGGTTGGCAGGGGCCCAGACTCTTGGGCCATTTTCCACTGCTTTCCCAGGCCATTAGCGGGGAGCTGGATCAGATGCAGAGCAGCAGGGACATGAGCTGGTGCCTCAGGTGGGATGCTGGTGGGATGTAAGTGGGAGGCTGGTGTCGCAGGTGGTGACATTATCCGCTGTGCTACAATGCCGGTCTGGCTTTTATTTTTAATTCCTTTCTTTCCCTTGTGTTTTTTTCCTTTATCTGTCTGTCTATCTGTCTATCTGTTTTTTGAGATTGTGAGTGCAGGAGAGAAAATGAGCTCCTATCCACTAGTTTACTCCACAAATGCGTAAAACAGCCTGGGCTGTACTGAGTTGCAGCCAGGGGCTTGAAAGTCAGTCTAGGTCCCCTACATGGGTGGCAGGAACTCAATTACTTGAGCCATCACCACTGCCTCCCAAGTTCATCATTAGCAGGAAACTGGAGTCAGGAACTGGAGCTGGTATCAAATGCAGGTGCTCCAGTGTAGGACATGTGCATCTTAACCACTAGAATAAATGCTTCCCATTCCTTAATCTTTTAAATATATTATCAACAAAACTCCTCAGAACTGACCCAACTCGTTGCTATTTGGGAAAAAGTTTTATGCACGCCAATCTACTTTTGCCTACTTACCAGCATCATTCTTCAGCCCTCTCCTATCAACAGATCTCTCCTTCAACATCCTGACTTGCTGAATTTTTTCTTTGGGAAGCTTCTTTTCCTATCCTGTGTTTAACTCAGACCAACTCTCAGTTTTCACACATATGACAAGAAATCCAAATGTGTGCCAAAATATAAGTAACGTTTCTTTCCTGAGACACATGCCATTTTCATATGCACTCACAGGACTGAATCTTGTGAGTGATACTTAGCTCACCCCTCCTACCTGCTGCTGCATGTAAGTGTTCTTTGTTCAGCTCAGTTGCACATGTCCATAGTGAGACTTCCAGTAGGTTGGAGGTGGGTTGAATGGCTCTTGCTCTACTTGTCTACTCAGCCCTACACATTGAACTTCCAGGATGATTGATGAGGAGGATACAAAATGCCAATGTTTTTAATTTGAGAAATGACATTAGCTCCAAAGAATGGCTATGTACTAATTCACTTGGAAATCTGCCTTATGGTGACTCTGATGGTTTTGCATCAGATATTTTTTTTAGGTCTGTTGATGCCGGTATGTTTGGTTTCCAACCACTGGCAATTTTGATTTAGCAGCCAGAGTTTCGCAATTCTCCAGTACCCCGGACTATTCTGCATTCTACTGTTGGTCTCCATGGCACCACTGGGGGATACCATTCATCTGTGTATTTCATTGATCTCAAAGACCACTGCCTGAACACTAAGTCGGTGCCTGTCTTGCCCACAGGGGTACGTCTTGACAGAGTACGTGGAGGTCGGCAGAAGTACAAGCGCAGAATAGATGCGGAGAACAGCCCCTACCTGAACCCTCAGCTGGTACAGCCAGCCAAAAAGCCATGTAAGTACAGCCAATGTGTCTGGCTTCTCAGAACACGAAACCCTCCCCATCGCCTGTACGTGTATCTGTGTTGGTGTGCCCATCCCGAGTGACTCCCAGGAGACTTCTCATTGAAGGAGGACAGTGGCTCCATTCCCAAGGATTTCCTGTGAGGAACATCAGCAGCTCAGCTCATTGTCTCTCTCTTTTTTTTTTTCCTTGAAAAATGTTTATGATTTTCTCCTGCCTTTTTTCAGCTAGTCATTTTGTGGAAGCATAAGAATATTAATGCATAGCTTATATAGTGTGAATTTTACATTTACCGGTTATCTTTATTTGCAGAGGTACATAAAATGGATCATACTGTGATCATTAGTTCATTGGAGCTGTTTCAGATTTCACAAGAAGGTGATTTTTGTAGTTTTCACTAACTAAATGAGTTTGACTGCTCAACCTCCCAATGAAAATACATTAGGAGCCTCATTAATTTGGAGCTATAGAAGGTTAACACACTAGCTCGTAATATAGTAAAACAAGAATGGGCCCTCTTAATAACAAGCATAGGTTGGTGGTTCTGTCTCAGATGCTCTTATAGGCATTACGAATTGTTTTTAAAGAGCCCACGGTTTTATGAGGCCAGGTTGCAATTTGAAAGGATGACTGGTACATTGCTAAAATGCAAGTCCCATTCTCTTTGTCATTAACTCAGAAGAGGCGGAATATAGATTGAGGCATTCACTGTGTCCCATTTTCAGAAAAATCTGTTAATAGCAGTAGTTCAACAGAGCTCACATTTTGGGGTGTTTATGCAGAGAGATCATACTAGGTGGTGAGCAGTGCCTTTGTGGAAAGAGTTCTCCCATTTAGCTGTCTTTATCAAAGAAGACACAACCAGCCCTCATCCGAGGAGGCTGCGTCTACAGCAGTTCTGGAATAGTCGTGAGTGGTTTGGGATCTGCTTTCAAGGGATGGGAAGTGTCCATTTCTAATTCAGATTCTCCAGGAGAGGTCACTGCTGTGCATCACACATGTGAACATATGGGAATCTGGTAAATAAATCAAACAGATCCTGAACTGTAAATGAAAGGACATTTTAGCTGTGTCAAAGGAAAAACAACCAGTTTTACATAAAATTAAAGCTTAAGTGAACATATGGCATAGTTTCCTTTTGCCTTTCCAAAAAACATTATGTTGATTATACCTTCAATTGTCCAATCTGGCATCTTCGCTTCAGCCTGCATAAGCGGTTTGGCATTCTGCAAATACAATCTAGGACTGCATTAAGCAGATTTTGCACATTATAATAAAAAAAACTTTCTGATAATACAATAAAATGCAATAAACACTAATGCTTAATTTCATTAGCGGTTTAGTGTTCCTGGATTCAATAATATGCAGACTTCCCATTTCTCATTTATTTTATGTGAACATTGACTGAAGCCACTGATAATTTCTTCTACTGAAAGAAAAATGAGCACCCGCCCATGTGTAAGTCAACATGATAGAAGGGCATCTATAGTTTTCTGTGTAAACCTGAGACATCGGGAAGTGGCTTGTCAAGTATCTTTAAGAAGATTACAGCAATTTCAGTGAGCTCCATTTGTCTGAGATAAAGACGACTCCTAATAAATCATTACTCATTATCTAAGGGCCTCTGTGTTAATTTTCCTTAGTCCATCCAATTAGTGTGTTTTTGTAACAAACATTTATAAAACTTAATTTTCAGATGCTGTCAGATAAGTGTCAAGAGACTGTACGTGGGCTTCGCAGGGGAAGCGGCAGGGGAGCCGCCTGCACCCTGCCTGATTGTGAACTGCAAAGACCCAGGAATGAAAATTGGGTTCTATTGATTCTAATTAGGGAAACATTAAATAAGATTTACTTAGAAACAGTGCCGCTGGCTGTTCCATTTCCTGAATGATGGGAATTTCTAAGCTTCAACCAGATTCCTCTGACCTCTCAAGTCAAGTAGCCATTGACTTGAGTAAAACAGATTGCCTTTTTCTCTTTAAAACAAAAACACTGGAGTCATGATTTCATTTTTTGTGCCTGGGAATCTAGTGGTTGCTGACAGGTTTTGTTGCGTTGTCAGAGCAATGAGATTTGAACTTTTCTAGTTTAAATAAAAATATAAGGTGTTATATTCTTAGCATATGTAAGAAACAAATGTCATTCTTTGCAGATCCTGCAAATTAAAAAAGAAACTCTATTTTTAATTGCTAGTAGAAACTACAGTATTTTGGAATATTTCCTCCAAAATATGCATATTCAGTTTGATGACTGCATGTCACTGCCAGTGGTGTCTGTTGACTATTTGCAATAAATATAATTCATAAGGTAGCCATGTAAAGAAAATTTTTTTAAATCATGTCAGAAAAAATGTCCCTAAATCTTGTTATTTCATGAAAGGAGACTGAAAGAATGCTGTATATAATTGTAAGTAAGTTTTGTGAAGTTCCTTTGGGTTAAAAAAAGTTAAAAACTCTCAGTGAAAGGCAAATGACCTTGTAAATAGTAGAAATTTTGCTTTGTCCACAAGGATTCCATTTGATTCCCTGGTTTTCTGGAGTAATAGTGCATAGGGCGTTTCAATATGCGAGTTTATTCTGACCCACCTGCATCTCCTCACTTGGAAGAAAGTGTCAACTCCGAAGCTACATGGAGAAATTGAAAGCAGGGCCTACAAGAGCAATCATTCCGAGAGCAAGGCTTTACACCCCGTCCATAAACTCTCACATGCCCCTGAGCAGTGAAACGTACTAGATGTGATGCTTTCCATTTGTCTCTAGTGTTGATTTTATGAAGCATTTTTAAAGCATATATCACAAATTTCAGACAGATAAATCTGAACCAGAGAATGAACTAAGGGCAACAGATGAAAACACAGGATTAAAGAATTAGACACTCAGAAGAGAAAGCAGTGTAACCTTTAGGTAGGAGTGTTTTTATGGAAACTGATATTGGCTATGTTTGGAAGATTGGCTAAGGATGTGGGGAGCAAGAAAGGAGAGAAATTCTTATTGAATGCCTCCCACGGAGGTGGAGTTATACAGTCAGTAATTCACCCAGGCAGAAGGGCTCTGACCTTTGCTCTTCTTTAAAGGAATTAAGACAATTAATGACTTTCATGTGCATTATGACTGTGAGCATTAGTTGTTGGCCTCCCGCATAATGGTCTATATTTCAATGGTTCACCGTGGGTTTTTATGTTAAAGCTCTTGTATACTACTTAATCTGCTTCTCCAAATCCCACTTTAAGAATCAAAGAGGAAATGGAGAGAGCATGTAACTTCTTTTATCCATTTGCTATAAAATTTTCACTACAGGACAGATGCTGCATTCTGGCAAAAGCAAGTAGAACAAAGAAGAAAAGAATGCATTCCAGTGGTTCATTCCTTGCTTTGTGTTGTCTTCAACACTGCTTAAATACCCTGGGCTCATTGTAGGCTATCTGAATTATTTTTTTCGGAATACGAAATACTTTGGGATTATAAGGAGGGATGATGCTGCCAGTGATCCTGTAGTGCTCTGGTCTGATCCTGCAGATAACAAGATTGTCTCACATTTGTTGGTGGCTGAACCGGAGAAGATCTATGCCATGCCTGACCCGACCGTCCCCGACAGTGACATCAAAGCCCTCACTACACTGTGTGACTTGGCCGACCGAGAGTTGGTGGTTATCATTGGATGGGCGAAGCATATTCCAGGTACATTTTCTGAAAACAAAAAGCAAAGATTGTAATTAATTTCCTAGGCTATATATGTAGATTTGAGCCAATTCAAATTTTTCTTGTTGATTTTTTTTTTTTTTTTAGCCCTCACATTTGTTGTTGTTATGCTTAACTCAGAGCTTTGCTGATCCTAAGAGAATCATTAGGCTCTCCATTTTTATACTACCTGGAGCTCCTATTAATTATTTTCTCATATATGAAGTTGCTGTTGCCAATTTAAGAAACGGAGAACATATCTTTTAAAAAGTTTCTTTATTCTTTTTAAATTCAGACTATTTTTTAAATTTTTCCTAAGGAAATACTTCTGATTTACTCTTAATTTTAAAAAGCATTTTCATCAGTAGTACTCTAATGTACCTCTCTTATTTTGAGAATCACTCGTTTTGTTGTTTATGGTGCCTATTTGGATTGAATTGCTATTCAAAGTCATCAGTTTTGCATTAGTTTACAATTAGATGTTTACCATGCATTTATATATAAATTATGAGAATAAATGTTAAGTTGACATGGTAAATTTTATCATATGATAATTTAAAGTGAATGTTTTAAAATATTGTATTAGTTTTCTTTCTTGATCCATCCTATATGCGTGATTACAAGTTTTGAGAATTTTAGTATTCCATTTGAATTAATTTTTGTTTTTGGGACTTTGATCTTCAACTAATTTAGAAGCAAGTTTTTGAATGATGAGCGATGTTTTTCTGGTACAGTTAACTTATTTCTGTCTCCTTAAACTAGTTTGTCTTTATGCTTTGAATGCTACAGTAATTTCTTTAATCAAATTGATGGAAGTCCCTTTCCCAGCCCACACTGAAACCAATTTATTGGTCATGATACGCCAGCTATGTTGCTAACAGTCGTAACGAACTGTCAGGCGATAGCGCAGTGAAGCTAATTTGAAGTCATTAGGTGTGCAGCGTTGAGGCGACAATTTGTTACAGTGGTTAGGAACACAGCTGACATTTCTGAATGGCTTTGTTCAGTGCAGTCCTCGATGAGGCCAAGCAAATTGTAAACTAATTTAAACATCACTCTGTATTATACCAGCTACTTTGTCTTACACTGTTTGCTAATAAAGCACCCCAAATTAAGTCAAAACTAGTTAAATAGGTGAGCTTGAGTGTATTCTTTAGACGATGCCTCCACAAAGGTTAAGGTTACTGTGTCTAAAGGCTGAGGATGTGATCGGGCGGATCACTGATGTTGCATCTGGATTATAACCCCATCTTTAGGATGTTTACAAAAACAAAAAGGATTTATTAAGACATGTTAAGACGGTGGGAACTGTGGCAGTGCAAATATCCAGAATTTGCTGTAGCGATATATGGAAACTGTGGAAGTAAAGTGCTACTGGAAGGTTTTACAACAGAAACAAACAAAAGTAACCTTGGTTGAAGTGTCCGGTGACACTCTTCTAGATAATCATACATACATACATATATTTATATTAACATGTGAGAATTCAAAAAGTTCATGGAGAAGTGGAATTAAAAGATAAGCTACATTGCTGCAAAGACATCCTGAAGTCCACACGTGGTTTTTTCCTAATATGCATCACCCATGAACATTGTGGAGCTCCTGCTTTTGCATGTATCACATAGAGACACACACACACGCACACACACACACATAAAATATCATTGTAACCCAGGCTTTTTCAGCCTCGGCATTATTGATCTTTGGGAGGAAATGTCTTCTTGTGGTGAAGGACTGTCACGTTAATCATAGGAGGTTGAGCAACATCTTCAGCATCGTTGGCCTCTGCCCACTAGAAGTGGCAGTGCCCTGGAGCTGGGACGAACAGAAATACCTTCCCCTATTTCCATGTGTACTAGGTGGGGAAACATTGCACCAGCTGGCCCGCTCTGCCTCTGCTGCCCAGAGGAGAGACATTATCCAACCTGGGGTTGGTAAGCCGGTATTGTGATGTCCTACAGAGCTGCCGTAATAAGACCAATATGTTCAATAGCTCCTTTTGGTCCTTCTGAGAAGGCAAAGTCCAAGATGACTTTGTAGGTCTGATTGTGCATCTAAGGAGCCATGTAAGCGTACACAGGCCCTTGTCATGGTACAGGGCTCCAGTGGCTCCTGTGAAGGTGGTGCCTTCAATAGCTATGAGTCACACCAGGTCCAGCCATGGAGACGGTGGCTGCATGAGTGCGTGGCTCTGATGTTGTTTCCTCTGCGTACAAATGTCAGAGGGAGTCGCTGTGGAGTGATGATTCATGGCTCTGATATTCCTGATACCCACAGGGTTTCTAATGATTACACAGAGTATCCTGACTTTTGAGAATGCAATTAACAAAACGAGAACTGACTGGAATTCTTAAAAAAAAAAAAGTTTGTAACAATATGGATGCCATACAGTGTATTTTTTTTTAATTTATTTAATTTATTTAATTTATTTGAAAGGCAGAGTGACAGAGAGGGAGTAGGAGAAAGAGAGCAAGCAATTGCTTCCATCTGCTGGTTCTCTCCCTAAATGGCAGGAACAGCCATGGCTGGGCCAGGTTGCTACCAGAGCCAGGAGCTTCATGCTGGTCTCCCACATGGGAGAGAGGGGCTCAGGTACTTGGAACATTATCTGCTGCCTTCCCAGGTGCATTTGCTGGGTGGGAAGCAACAGTGGGGAGTCAAACCAGCATTCTGATAGGAGTTGCCAACATCACAAGCAGTGGCTTAACCCACTGCTCAAGAATGCTGTCTCCCCATACAGAGTACTGAAGTAGCAGACGGTGTCCTGATATCAGCAACTCTACTTATCCTGCATTCAGGGCGAGGGAGGATAAGAACGAGAACATCACAGCCAAAGTCACATTTCTGCCTTGGTAAAAGTAAAATTGTGCTCTTAATACATAAACCAACCCTGTCACCGGGGCCAGTGCTGGAACTAAAGCCGAATCAAGATTGAAATCTCTCCTGTCTTAGTCTTAACTTCGAAATTGTTTGTTTTTGTAAAACTTACATTAAAAATTAAACCTTTTTAAAAAGGCACCAACATCCAGGTCTTGGTTCTCTTTGTTGCTGTTCTCAGTTTGTGTAATCACCGCACACACACACCCAGGAGATAAGATCAGTCACCTTTCTGCACTGCTGTGAGTGTACTTTGTCCCCTTGCGTTTGCCACATATAAAAGTGAAGAATTCAAGAAAAGAAAATATTGAAGAAAAATACATATGGAGTGGGTTTTTTTTTATCAGTAAATAGAATTAGTTGACTTACATTAATAAATCATATAAATGGGAAAGTGTGTTGTTATGAAACATGACCACACTTTATCTGTGGAAGAAAAAAGATCACAGGGGCTTTAGAAAATGCTTGACTTTAGTTGGAGGAGCATAAGGGCACAAGAACAGATGATGGTGCCCTAATAGCCCTTTTTAAGAATGACAGGGCCCCGCCATTAGCATCCTTTTATATCCTTGGAAATTGCTCATGCCTCGCTTTTCTGGTTCCTATCTGCCTGACTCTTTTTTATTTCTCTTTCAATTTCGTCCGCGCTCGGATAAGCGCATGCTAACACAATATGATTGAGCTGTAAAATGGAACGCTGTCGCCTCTAATCTCTTTTATGTAGATACGGAGGTACTGCACACTCCACTTCATTCTCTCTACATTGTTGGCCTTTTTTAGAATGGGCTGCCAAGTAATGGAGGCTCCGTCAAATATTAGAGCTAGGTTTCACACGGTGTGATAAGACGATTATCAGCCCAGCAGTCAGATCTATTATTGTTCCTGGGAGTTGATTAAAATATTATTATGTACTGCAACTTTGTTAGCAAAATGTAGAATATGCTTAGTCAGATGGTGCTTAAAAAAGCATAACCTATATTAGCTGACCTATATAAGTGGCTTAAGCATATTTATGGATCTTGCCAGACAGCGTACTTTAAAAGAACACAAAGGTATTTGAACAATTAAGTGAGTAGACGCATTTTAAAAAATGTTTTCCTTTTTCAATTCGGCAGATTTTCAGGTTGGCTTGTTTATTTTTCACACTGTAAATGAAACAATCACCTATTAAAAAAAGAGTTGGCTCAATTTTGGGAGCCTCGTGGTCCTGTTTTTAAAATCAAAATGTCTAATGTAATAATATCAAACAACAAACCAAAAAAGAACCTATACTTTCTCTTCATGTTGAGTGAGGGCAGGAGATACTGAGTTCTAAGAAAACTACACTACAGAACGTGATATGAGAAACCATCCTTAAGCACTTTTTATTTATGTGAGAAACCAACATCTGAACTCTAGAAACCAGTGTTTTCCATTTGCTCTGAAACATATTTTGTTGTTAAAATATTGTTAGGAGACTGTATCAAAAGGTGCTAGTTGACATGGCTTTGTATACTTTTGTCACCAAAGGTATTTAACACTTTCTGCAATGACAAGAATCTGCAAAGGATATCAGTTTAACTCTTTCTTCATTAGGATCTAAGTTTTGTAAAAGAATACCCAAGAATGTTTAAATATGTGCTGCCAAAGATACTGCTTAAAGATATAGTGATTGTTCTAACAGATGGATTATTAATATTGTGTTTGCCTCCAACCAAAGTTATGGAGGTTTAATTTTAAAATACCTATCAAAGGATACAATATGCATTTTTTAAAAGATTTATTTATTTGAAAGAGTTACAGAGAAGAAGAGGCAGAGAGAGAGAAAGGTCTTTCATCTGCCAGTTTACTCCCGAAATAGGCTGCAACGGTTAGGGCTGGGCCAGGTCATAGTCTGGAGCCAGGAACTGGGCCAGGGCTGTGCCAGGTCAAAGTCTGCAGCCAGGGTCTCCTACATGGGTGCAGGGCCCAAGGACTTGGGCCATCTTCCACTGCTTTCCCAGCTGCATCAGCAGGGAGCTACATCAGAAGTGGAGCAGCTGGGTCTCAAACCAGCACCCATTTGGGATGCTGACATCACAGGCAGCAAGCTTTACATGCTACACCACAGCGCCAGCCCCAAAATACCCATCTTTTAATTTTGT